ATATTCATGCATATGTTAATTCTATGTGCTTGTTGTATTCTATTTTTTTTTTTTTTTTTTGTTATTTTATATTCTCATATAAGTTTGTTATCTGTACATGTCTTATATTTAAGTGTGGACATTGATGTCAACACAGTCTATTTCATGCTTGAATGCAATTTTCAGACCATCTTTTTATATTTACTCATTCTCTATCTTATATATTGAGCGTGTTGACCCTATAAATATAGCATACCTTAATGTATGTAGAGGTAGGGGAGCAATTTTCCATTTTTAGGGAATTCTGTTTTTTTTTTTTTCTGTTTTCCGTAAAGATTTGTTTTTGCTCCATTATAATACTTAGTGAGAAAATGAGCAAGTGTAACAATATATAGAAGTTATTAAAACAAGAAAATAAAAGGAAAATGAAAAATTTTACTAGCTAGAATATCCATCCATTGGATAAGTTGCTCCTGTTTAATAGTTTCATACATCATATTTCAGCCCTTAATTTAACTTGATAAGTTTCTGGAACCACCCTTGAAATGTAATGCAAAAATCCTGAATAAGAATTAAGTGAAAGAGGCAAAACCTACAGAAAAGTAACCCCACAGATTACTAAAAATAATTAAATAACTTTAGTAGCAATTTGTGACAAAACAGAAAATCTGCTCTTATTGGTACTCTAAAATGCTGGAATGCTGAAGGGATTTGGTAGGTCATCTTTGTGGTTTATATAAATTTGAAATTCTTCAGAGTTCAGTGAATGGATCTTGTAAATCTTTGTTGGCTGCAAAACTGCCAATGTCATGGCTAATACATGGCTGCTGTCTAAGATTGAACAGATGAACTGATTTGTAAAACTCATACACTGGATAAGTATCGAAGCATTTGTACAACTTTGAAAGTGCTGTACTGGATACTTCCTGCAAATTTGATGTAACCTTATTCTTCTCTAAGGTTTCCAGTTCAGACAGAGGACGATCAGTTTCTAGATGTAAATTATGGTAGGATGCATGATGCAGTTTACTATTATCTAATTCCAAAATTTAGTTTATTGCCAAACTATAGTTTTTCTCTTGTTTTGAAGAATCCTTCATAAAATTAAGCATGTGAAGAGTGATACATGAATTGGACCATGAATTCCATCAGGTTGCCACTGGAACAGGGTGGAGCTTCACTAGTTGTTGAGACAAGTAGGCTTCGAGCCATTGCAGATATTGCTGTTTTCGTCCAGGTTTATTGAAAGTATTGAACATTATTATTTTGCCAAATTGTTTTTATGGTCCTTTATAATAGTGACTACTCTAACAAAATCAACACTATGATGACAAAATTTGCAGAAAAGCATATATGTCTTCTGGAAATTTTAGGAACTGCAGTCATTCACCTTTGTTTCTTTCTTGGAGGAGGTCCATATTTTGAGGTTGTTTGTATATAAAGCAGCCTGTTGTTATTTCATGATAGATTTAAAAAAAAAAACATCAATTTCATCAGTTCAGGCTTCCATTTTTCCATACAAATATGCCTTTTTTTTAATAGATCTCCACAACCAAAATGTTGTGTGTGTGTGTGTATATATATATATATATATATACACACAAAACAAAAATAATATCCAAATAATGTAAAAATATATATACCATTTTTATAGCCACTTGTTTGTATAAATAGTTGGTTAAAAATGTAGAAGCTTGCATGCGTTCAGTTCTTAACCTAACCTGTTTCTAATCGAACGTGACACTGGTGATTTTGGCAAAGTTTGTTTTGCTGATGTCGGAGGTCTCGTCTGCAGATAGTCATGTGTGTTGTCTTGCATCTGGTAACTGGATTGAACTTCCAGGACGATCACTGCCTTCTTGCCTGGAGGCATTCGTATTTATTGATGCTTGCCCAAAACTGGTGTGGGGGTGTGCGGTAGCTAGGTGTCTAGCATTTTCTCTACCTGTCACAAAGAACCCCTTCTCCACTGCCTGGGTTCTGGGAATTAATTACTTCCTACTTTGGAAGTCTCTCCTTTTTCTTGATAAGGGTCGTAGGCCTTAATCCGCCCCCAAACTTCTTCCTTCCCTTCTTAGCATCTCCCACTGATACCCCTCTGTGGCGTGGGCAGCTCCTCCTCCTTCCTTGGTGTCTCCTCTGTGTCTGCTACTCCTCAGTGGGTGCAGGCAGCTTCTTGACCTTTCTTGGTCTCTCTTCTGTGCCTGTTACTCTTCAGTGGGCGTGGGCAACTTCTCCATCTTTCTTGGTTTCTCACCTGTGCCTATCACCTTGATCACCTAGCAAAGACAAATTTCAAGTTCATTAATTAAAAGAATTATTATTCCGGGATCACCTCATAAACGACTGTCACCAGCATTGGTTTTTCCTGGTTTTGGAGTTGAACAAAAAACAGATGGCCCTCTCCAATGCCAGAGACACTCTCCAAAGAAATACCTTTATCTCTACAATAAGTTTTTCCAAATCTTAACTGATTTGTTCTAACTAGTCGTCTAGTTCTTTTAGAAATTTTGGCTTTCTGGGAAATAAAATCTTCGATATTTCTCATGATAGTTTATTGGTATATTGTTTTTACTATCAAAAAACCTTATTCCTGGTAGTTTATCAATATATCATTCTTGCTATCCAAAAACCTTGTTATTCATAATAGTTTATTGGTCTCAAATAGGGTCACACATCAATGAACCACTTTCTCTTTTTTTTTATGTGTTATGTCCTTTCAGGATGTATCAATCATGTCACTCTACAACTTGGTGTCTTTTGTTACTCTAAGTAAACTTTGAATTTTTACCAGCTATCTTTTGTCTTAATTCTGTTATCCATTCACACAAACTTATTAAGTATATTACTTACCATTCTCTCTTGCTTCTTTTGCCTTCAGAGTCTATCTTGATAGGTGTGAAATGCACAGAACTAGTTGCAAACCATTTGATCCCTTTGGTGATGGTCATGGTAACAGGAACAGGACTTTCAGCTATTCCATTCACCTCAGTACTTGCCAGATTTCAAATCTACAGAACAAGTATAGAACATATACTGACCTTGCTAATTTCCCTTCAGACACACTCAGTAAACACAACACTTATAGACAACCCTGGAATGTGTGCGTGTGTTAATTTATATATATAAGACTACCTTACCCTTGTAGCTTTGTAAGGTTGTTATATCATTTTATGATAATATTTAAGATTACTATTGCTCTACAGACTAGGTATTAAAATTTGCTATATTTATACGGAAAGATTGTCTAATATTAGGGATGGAGCGTTTATAGATATAGACAGTTTGTACATAGGAATCAACACTTCATAGTGAATGTCAGTTTCACATATTAATGCAACCTTTGATTCCATGCAATATTCAGATTATTTTATATATATATATATATATAAACAAATGTGTGAAGCAGTAAATTACTGGAGATTAATATGTTCAAGGTAAACGAAGTTTGCCAATAAAGTGCTCAATATTAAACATGTATATAACTGAAGGGACTTAATGTGTGCAAAAGTTTCCAAATTTTTATTTTTATTTAAAAACAGATTTTTATTGTGTATTAAGTGTCTCATTCTCAAAGTGGATGCTAGGAACTGTGGCATATATATTAAAATAAAATTTGACATGTTATTGAATTTGTTTACAATCATTGTAATGAACAGAAAAGAAAATGAGAAGTAATTGTAATTTTTACCAAGTTGCTTACTTTTGATGGCTGATAGAAGCAGGAAAAGAGACAAGCATCTCAGTAAATTAAGTTTTATTAACATTTCTGTTAATTAGCTTGTGAGAGTAAAGAATATATTTTGGACCCAAAATTCAGCCCTAAATTTCCCACTATTTCATTTTTGAAATGTTTGTCATGAAAGCATATTTTTTGTTTTACACTCATTAAACTTTGTTTCCTTCATGCAAATTCACTTTGTGGAAAGAGAAGTTGAACAGAATTACTTGTAGTATTGACATGTTTAAACTTTACTTTCGTTGGCAAAGAAGGGACTATTTTATTTCCGCTGACATGTAAAGTTTCATCTTAAAGTAACATTTAAATCCGCTTTTTAAACATTTTTAAGTCTCCAGAAACAAAATAATAATGTTTGAAATGAAAACAATTTGATGCTTGTTTTAGAAAAAGATAAACTTCTTGCATTCATGGCTTGCACATTCCTAGATATTCTATGCAGAAAACACGATCATTCATAAATACCATTTCTACGGATTAGACCCAGGTTTGGCATTTTTTAATGATGGCTATTTGAGTGAGGATACAGTCAGGTAGAGAGAATGATGACAGAAGCAATTCTTTTTCATTTTGCTACAGTTTCTTTTGCTTACAATATATCAATATATTTTCTATTATTTTGCAGTCATATTTTCCTATTAGCATTTAGTAAGCTGAATATTTTGCGCAAAGCTGAATGAAATAAGATTGTGGTGAGCCAGTCTTTCAAGTTTATGAGGTGTTATTACTTTAAAAATCAGAATTAAATCCCACTAGAGAGAAAGATACAACTACTATTTTGGCCACATGAGTGATACAGTTACTTGATATTTATTTAAAATCAGAGACTATTTTAATAAGATAATCAAAATTGGCTGCAGAGAATTTCATAGGAGTCTTTTGAAGAGTGGATTTCTGTATGTTTAGACCAAAAATCCAATTCTTATTTTTGACATACCATATATACTTGAGTATAGTGCAAATTTTTATTAGTTTTTTTATGCCAAAAATAGCGGGTAGTATTATACACAGGTAATTTTTTTAAGAGGTTAAAAATCATGCATTTTCACTGAATGGTTGTACTAAGTTCATGCAAAAAAAATTCAGGGGTCACACTAACATGAAGTCTGTATATATATATGGTACTCTTTGAGAAATACCAAAAAGGTTTTCTGTTTTCTGAAGCTTCTGAAATTATAGTAAAAAAAAAAAATGATTTCAGTTAAATGGGTTTTGTATTTTTCTTCTCTAATCATTGTTGATTTTTCATTTCCAATTCAAATATTACATTTTTCTTTTTCAGATGTGTTTGTCCAGTATTGCCATTTTTTGCTACAAGCTGGGTTCACTGAAAAAACTGTAGCATCTTTCCAAGCCCTGCTTGAATTCAACCTTTTCTTCCCTCCATCATTGGAGAAGGCCAGTCATAGTGATTGCATAGCTGTATTTGAAAGTTTCTGGGACAGTGGTGTTGGACGTTTTGGAGAGCCTGGAGCCCAAGGATGGAAGTATTGGGTAGAAAAAAAACAAACCACTTTAGACACTTCTTGTACTTCAGGTAAGTACTTTTGTTTGCTTAAAATCATTTCAAGTAAAAGAAGCCTGATTTTGAGAAACCAAAAAGAAAAAACAAAAAAAAAAAAAAACAATTTTGGTAAAAAAAACAAATAATATCAGAATATTATTGAAGGTAGCCAAGCAATTAATAAGAGACAATTGTTATTTGAAAAATTTAGTAACAGGAAAATTCCATGTCAAATCATCCAGAAAAAAAAAGTCATTCTTACCTCTTCAATTTTTCTGAAATTTTGTCCATGTGTTGATTATGTTAAAGTGAGAGAATCCCCAAAATTTGTGCTTCTATTTCCAAAAATTGTCCAATTTATATCAATTTTTAGCTTTCCTCAGTTTTGGGGTTGCACAAAAAATCGTGACATTTCGTAATTTATTTTTGTCTGTAAAATTAGTTCTAGAGCTTCCCTACTCTTAAAAATTGGCCCAAGGAATCCAAAACTGCTATAAAAAAAAAGCTCAAAATGAACCAATTTTAAGTTGTTAATGATTTTTGATTTTTTCATAGCAAGATCAATAGTGGGGAGAATCTACATGTGGCAATGTATCTATGGCAATTTTTTTTTTTTATTATATTATATATGTTTGTACGAAAAAGATAGTTTGGTTATTTCTTAGTTTGCTCAGAATAGAAGCTACAAGATTAGTTAAAATTTTGTGCTTTTATGTTTTAAGTGTTTCTGTTCAACAATTGAATAAGGTCTGGATGGAGCAAAATAATTGTCAGAGTGAAATAGAAATAATTTTTTTGAAATAATATCTTGATTTGAGGGGTTCTTGACTTGTCTGTCTACCTAACAGCTCTGGGTGTTAGGGATTAAGGAATTACAACTGTCTTGGCTACAAGGCCTGATGAAGAAGGCAAAAAGGCATTGTAGCCAATACAATTGTAGTTCATTCACCCTTAACTCTCTTACCTAATAATAAACTGACTAACTTTTTTCTAAGAATTGTGCACCTCTGCAAAATCCAAACTAACTAAAGTTATTGACAAATTGAAAGATGACTTTTCACATGCTTACAATGTTGAAAAAAACTGACCATGCACTTCAAGTAATGATGATTGTTCAAAAGCTGATGAACTGGATCAATTGCATACAGCTATGATCGAGAAGCTGAAGTCTGCATCATTATCCTGAAACAGTACAAATCTTGACTCTTGTATCTGATTTATGGTCTCACTTGTTCTGTGCTAACTACTTCAATATTTCTGAATACCTCATTCATACAGCTCAAGATTTGGAGAAGATAAAAGGTATAAAAGCAGTCCCAAATCCAAAGAGAGGCAAATCATTGTCACAGGATACAATCAACTTGATAACTGTATTTTATAATGATGATGATTTTAGCCAGCAGTTACCTGGTAGTAAAGACTATATAAGTATTGGGAACAAACAAAAACAACTGGTTTTGTGCAACTTTAAAGAGCTATATGCTGCTTTTAAAGAAAGACATCCTGATATAAGATAGACTTCTCAAAATTCAGCTTATTGCACCCAAATGGTGTGTCATTGCTGGCTCAAGTGGTACTCATTCAGTGTGTGTCTGTATACACCACTAGAATGCAGTTCTTTTGGTGGATGCAATCAACTGGGACATAACATACAGAAATTTTATCAGCAAAGTGGTATGTAACCCATCAAACAGAATATGCATCACTGTGAAAAGTGCCCTGGATCTAATGCACTAATGAAATTTGGTAATACTAACAACATGTGAGGAAGACAGACAGATTCTAGTTGAGGCAATTGATGGTTAAATGTCAGACTAAATATCTAAAAACAAAGAAAGAAAATTTAGCAAGAAATGAAGCCATTATTCTAAGTGATTATGCAGAAGACTATCAATTTATAATTAAGAAATGAAGCCATTATTCTAAGTGATTATGCAGAAGACTATCAATTTATAATTCAGGATGATGTTCAAGGGTATCATTGGAATAAATTGTATTGCACTATACTTCTGATAGTAATTTACTTCATTAACAGTCATGGTGTTTTCTCCCATGATTCTCTGTTCTTTGTTTCAGATGATAACAACCATGACACAGCTTTTGTTTATGAAGTACAAAGATTGACAACTGAGTACATTAACAAATATTCCAGTATTGAAAAACTATTATTTTTCTGATGGTTGTGCTGGGCAATACAAAATTTACAAAAATCTCATTAATTTATGTCACCATAAGCAGGATTTCCAACTTGACACTGAGTAGATTTTCTTTGCAACAAGTCATGGTAAGTCACCATGTGATGGAATTGGAGGTTTTGTCAAGAGACATGTTGCCAAAAAAGTCTACAGATGTCATTAAGGGATCAAATTCTTGATTATAATGCATTCCTAGATGTTTTTAGGATAGATTTCCCGGGATTCAAGTTGTTTACATTGAGCAGTCTCATATGTTGTCTGTTCAAGATCAACTGATAGAACACTTTGAAATAGGTAAGACTGTTCCTGGAACAAGGAGTAGTCATCATTCCATTCCAATGTCAATGACAAGTTTCTCACAAGCAAAGAAGATGTACTATATACATTTGACTTTTGCAAGGATGAACCAAACATGATTGTACCAAATGTATCTTCATATGTAAGTGGTGTTTATGATTCTGTTTGGTGGATAGGTTTAGTTAAGATGATGAGTGCAGAACATGGTGATGTTGAAATCCAGTTTTTACATCCACATGGTCCAAGGAAAACATTTAACTGGCCTTCAAGGTATGACATTTGCTTTGTACCACTAAATAAAGTTTTATATAAAATTTCACCTCCAAAATCAGCAACTGCTACTGGAAGATCTTACACACTTTCGGATGAGGATTTCATTAAGATAGTAGCAGCATTTACAAGTCTCCAGTCAATGACTGCTTGATTCATTTTCTAGGATTCTACACATATACACACTTTAGACAAGAAGTGCTTTTTATTTAATCACAAATAATTAAAAATTGATAAATGAAGGAATAAGATTTGGTCCTAACACCAATGTTATTTCATTATTAAAGATATTTGTATATTTACATAATTTTATAATAATTTTGATCTCCCATACTTATATGCATACTTTTAATATTTCTTTCATGTTTACAATAATGAAAGAATTATTCAAATTGAAGAAGTTTTCTTACTTAATGCTTTAGAGATTGAAAATTAATAAAATAAAGAATAAAGCAAATTTGTTTCATAATATTCACATTTGCATTATTCTCTATTAAAAAAAAAGGTTTTATTGTGCTGTTGGTATATTTCAATACTATATTTTTTGTAGATAAACATGTTTACTTTATCTGGTCTTTTTTTTCTATATTATCATTTTGTTGCTCTCCCATTTTCAATTCCATAATGAAATGTGGTGCAGATATTGAGCTTTGCATATTGAGAGAATTTTGCAGCCAATGATTGATACAACATGTATTGTGTCTATATTATTTTAAACAATCCAACTCCCAACCACTAACATAATACTGATCATTTCTATTCTGACAGTTATTTTGCTCCTTATAGACCCTATTTAATGGCTGAACAGAAACACTTAAAACATAAAAGTGCAAAATTTTAACTAATGCTGTAGCTTTTATTCTGGGTAAACTAAGAAATAACCAAATTATTTTTTTTTGTACAAATAATGTAAAATAAAAAGTAACAAAAGAAATTGTCATAGATGCACTGCCACGTGGGGATTCTCCTTCCTAGTGATCTTGCTATGAAAAAATCAGAAATCTTTTTTTTAATAGCATTTTTGGATTCCTTGGGCTCAAAAGCTTTTCTGAGTCAAGTTTTAGGAGTAAAGAAGCTCTAGAGCTAATTTTATAGACAAAAATAGATTATGAAATGTGAATTTTTGTGTAACCCTAAAACTGGGGAAAACTAAAAATTGATGTAAATTGGACAATTTTTGGAATTAGAAGCTCAAATTTTAGGGATTCTCTTACTTTAACATAGTCAACACATGGACAACATTTCAGCAAAATTGAAGAGGTAAAGGTGACATGCCATGGATGATTTGACATGGAATGACCCAACAGCTTTCTAGAATATGAATTAAACACTTCATTATTATTTAGTAGATTTTTAATAACTCATTGATTTTGAGAGAAAAATGTTTTGCTAAAGAAGCTTTAAGGTAGTTTGTGTAAATTAGAAAAATATCATCATATTACCTACAAAAAAAATGACAGAATTATTTAAATATGGATCCAATCTTGTGTTGAATATCAGAGTATCGATGCAATTTGATCTTAGGCAAAGTGGTGCTTGTTGGTTGTTTGCCTAGGATCAGTGTAGCAATTGTATGCTCTCTGAAAAGTTTTGAACACAAAATATATACATGTTATATAGGTAGATATTAATATGTCTTTACATAAATAATGATTAAAAAAGAAAAATTGAGGTGAATGGGAAGACTCATATGTTTGAATTTCAATGAGATAATTTAAAATCTTTTGTTTTTAAGAAATATAAACATACACACTGTAGGAGTTTTCTTAAATAAATTCTAAGCAAATATTCTCTTTAAATAAAATCTCTGGTTATAGACAGTTTTTGCCAATTATAAAACATCCTTTCTCATTAGACTAGCATGAGGCATGTGAGTGGCTAGCATCCATGTTTCTATATCAAAATAATATCTCATTATCATTAAACCTGCCTTAGTCATATGGGGTGTTTTATTACCCCCCTCCCCCAAATTTTAACATACTCATAATTCCTAGTTAGCAACTTGTTTCTTTTTCTGCCCCCACTACTCTCTTGATTCAGTGAAAGTGTGTAGCACAAGGTGTGGCACAGGTGTAACTCAGCCATTGCGAGAGGGAGTGCTAGGGGACTGTCCATTTTTCAGAAATCCAAGATGACAAACGTAGGGTTAAACAGAATAGGTTAGGATCACAACTGATAAATATATTAAGTCACATTCTTCTTGAGAAGAAAACTTCAATGTTTCATACACTAATTGCAGTTTGTGATCTTTGAAAGTATTGAACTGGTGATTTGAATAGATTTATTTAATAGTCTATCAGTCTTTAAAATGGCTTGGTGGAAATATTAATTATATTCATGAGAATGAAAAAAAAATGATTCTTTGTGAGATATTGTATTTCCTTTCTTGCTACATAGACTGTTAAACTTCTCTTAAAATTGATAACCTTAAAATTTTGACACTGGTAATGTTTACATTTTGTTTTCACTTTAGTTCAAGTTGACCAAATTGAAGAGGACATTATCTCTCAAAACAAACCCCAATGGAAAACCTGGTTAGAAATTGAGCATCTTCGTGAATCTGTGCACTGTTTGCCTTGGAGACCAGACACCAATGCAGATGAAACACTTGAAGATTGTGAAGACCTTGATCGGCTGGTGCTCTTTGATGACATCGCTCCTGTTTTATTCATGTTTCACAACAAGAAACTCAATTTAATGCTGCTCATTCATTCACTCTATTTGCTTGGGGTGCAAAAGGATAAAGAACATTTACTTCTTCTCAGTTTCCTTGACCAATGGTGCCTCTCCCCACTGACACTTGTTAACAACCCACATTATAACACCTTGTTGACTGATATTGCTGTTACACCTATCAGTGGAAGCAAGCCTACTCATGATTTGCTCAAGAAATTTATTGATTGCATTTTCCAACAAGCTCTACAGGTATACCTATCTTTATGTACTTATAATCTTATTAAAGAAAAATATGTGCTCTCTGACAGAATTTGAACCTGTGCACCCTTGGCAGGAGTTCCATGGCTGAGTTGGTCTAATGCACATCAGATCTAACAGTGGTTTCTCCTGCCTAGAGGAACACAGGTTCAAATCCTGGCAGAAAGCACATATTTTTCTTTAATAAGATTTCTTGAATATTCAGTTCAACAGACAAAAATAAATATACTGTTTAATAAATAAACAGTGTCTACACAAATATGGACATTCACTAAAAATAACACACACACACACACACATATATAAGAACATTTACAGGCTTATGGCCACCTCACATTGAAACACCAGTTCCCATATAATCACTGAAGTTTCGCAATGCAGAATCAGGTTAGTACCTAGATGGGTGACTATTTGGGAATACCAGGTGCTGTAATGAATAATAGCTCAGAATTTTTTTATAATCAGAGAGCAGAGTTCCAATTTCCATTGGGTTCATTATATTCAATTATGTGCAAATACCCTTGGAAAAGTTATGAATACACCTCTTTTCATACACCCCGCCACCAGCCATGAGTTAATTAGTAATATTTTTTTTATCCCTAAACCATTATTATCTGAAAAAAAAAAAAAAAAAGAAATTCTTATAATCTAAAAATGTTTTCTGGCTTTAAATAACCTGCAAATAGTTAAGCTGTAGAAAAAAAAATCAATCAAAACAAGAATATTTACAGTACCTTTGTGGGTTTTTTTAATACACACACACACACACACACACAAATTGTTGACTTAAGTATTCCATCTATTTTGTACATTAATTAAAATTTTTGTTTCAGGTATTTACTGGTGAAGAAGCAATGGCCATCACACTATTATGGATTCAACATCACTTGTCCCAGGTTCGTCAGTCCAGTGGTAACATTGATAAAAGTACCAGCAAGGATGTACGCAAGTTTGCCAAGTCTCTGCTGAAAGAGGGCCAAAACCGAAACAATTTAATTCTATGGAATGCCTTTGCTCGACTTGAGTGGGAGCTTGGCAAAGAAGAGGAGGCTCTGAATGTAGTAGAAACAGCATTAGTGATGCAAGCTGGAGACCTCCTCCATGTCAATAACCCATGGGAAGGAGCAGGAATCTGTGCCTTGTACCACACCTACATTGACATCCTTCTTGGGATGAAGGGGCATTTTGTCACCTGGTGGACAAGTAATGAGAACAGGCTTTCTCCAAACATGGGCAAATCACAATGGGCCCTAATTCACTTGGCTGAGGGTACCAAACTGAACAGTAAAAATTATACACTGATGACCATCTCCCCTACAATGGTACTAAAGACCAGAAAGAAACTGGGTGAAATACAGGAGCAAATATGGGACCAGTTCCGAAACTCATCTCCAGAAAATCTGACTGCACTAAGTTATTTCCTCATTGAATTTGTTGAATGCTTTGCTTTGTTTGAATACTGCTTTAGCCGTTTGACCATTGCTTTGTCCTTGCTGGACTCTATCCAGGATCAATGCAGTAAGCAACTCCACAAGAACAAAGGAGGCAGTCATAAAGAACTTTTGCCTTTCCTTGAAACTCCCTCAGGTATTTGGAATTTTAGTTTTCATCACATTGCAAAATGTTCATTTTAATAACATTCTTTTAATTTCAAGCATTATTATAATAGGCATACAGATTACCATATATACTCAGCTGGTGTATAAGCCGACTTCATGTATAGTGCAACCCCGGAATATTTTTGCATGAATTTTAACCCATCCAGAAAAAATTTACCTGTGTAGTGTGACACCCCCCTTTTTTTTTGCATAAAAATCTGATCATAAAAACTTGCACTACACTTGAGTAGAAATGGTAGTCTTGTAGAAAAACATTTTTGAAAAAAATTTTTAAATAACAAAAATAGCTTATCAAATGAATAAACTGGATAGCAAATTAATTGCAGACACTGAGTTTAAAATTTGATTAACATGAGAGAACCATTGTAGCTACATTTTGATTCTCTATTTAATGCATGTGACAACAGGGTTTTCTATCACCTCCAATGTCAGTTCAAATGTTGGTTAACATTTCTTTGATAATTTGTGGCTCTTCTCCCCCATCAAATGTTTAACATAACATAAAAATTAAAGAGTATTTTTCACATTATGATTTTAACACCATTTTTCTTTCTTCTTTCATTGTAATTTTAGAAAAGCAGATAATGATTCACTGTGAGAAAGTAGCTGTTAAGTTGACATTGTATCACATGCAGCACCATCCGCAATCACTTCGCTCCCTGAAACAACTGCTGAAAAAGGCTTTGAAGCAATACCCTTCAGAGCCCTACTTTCTGAAAGTCCTCATTCAGGCAGAACGAGGGTCATACCTGATGACCCACCTGCGACGATATTTTGACCATTGCTTGCTCTCAACCACTCTGGCTTCGCCTGTGATAATTTTATTTGCTGTACAAAATGAATTGGAACATAAAGCTAAAATGGAGGCACTGGCACAAACAGGTCTTATTCTTTTGTACAAATAAATTTTTTTTGTTTCTAGCGGGGAAGAGGGAATATTCATGTTAGAATTTGGCTGTGGCTAGTGGACATAATTTGTAATTCTTTCAAAATAAGAATTTCTCTTTATATTAATTAAAAAAAAAAAAAAATAGTTGCATAAAAAGAAAAATGATATTGAATCCCAAAAACTTTTTGTACATGTGCTGAACTCAAATTTTAATCAAAAATTACTTGTTCACAAATCTTAACCATCCTTTTATATTGTTTATCATTTTTTGAAGTTTGTTTCTTCTCACCACAATATAAATGTCCATTTTTCTAATTTAGTTTCATAAATACAGAATGAATGTGACATTAATATTAATTTACAATTTTTTGCCTTTTTTTTTTCCAGGAGGTTACCAGTTGGCTGTGAATTCTGCAACCCTTAATCGCTTAAGGTCATTGTTTGAAAGAGGATTGACCTTACCAGAAATCCGAAATTGCCCCCTGATATGGCGCCTCTACATCTCTCTCGAAGTAAGAAACATTTCAGTATTGGCCTACATTTGGTAATATTTTCCTGCTGAGAATAGGTGCTGAGTTCAGCATTTCTCAAAAGAATGAGAACATTTTCTGAATTTTACATTATTGTAACACAAGATCATCTTAAGAAATTCCCTCTTATATCTACAATCATGGGAAATTTCTGTTAAACTGCTTCAATTTTCCAACTGCATATACTTTGGAAGCTGGTATTTTGGAAATTTTTTTTTTTTTTTTTTTACTTCATCCAAACTTAAATATTCTAACAGAATGCTCCTCAAAGGAATTCTAGACAATTTAGGCCTGATGATACCATGCAATGGAGTCCATGATGTTAGGGTGAGTAGAGTTACTCACCATAATATGATGATGCTATAAATGAGATTACCACGGGAAATGAGAGAAAATGTTATTGAGTTGGAAACCCAAATAAAGAGAGCAAGGTGTTGCCAGATTAATGAAATTGAAGTGCAATTTGTGTTTAGGTATACTAATAGACTCAACCAATGCCATTATGGTAGCATCACTAACCTGCATAGTACCTTGCTGGTAAGGGGGATTCATTATTACCTCATGTGATCTGCACTAGGCCATGGCAGTCCTCCAGGGTTCATCATGGTGCTAACAGGGACACCCTGGTGAGTTTTCTGTTCTCATTTTCCACGGAAGCTAAAGAACATGGAACTGACCTGCTGGATATACATCTAGTACTTCTTGTATTGAACGTAGATGTAATTTCAGCCACTAACACTTGTCTGTGGTTGGCCATAGCACTGTCCAAGGTGTGCAGTAATGCTTTCCATCATGTATTTAGATTGAGGAATATCAAATGCCCTTACAATTTCAGAAATGGAATGTCCTGCCTGGCACCCATGATCATACCCTGTTTGAATGCTGATAATTCATGTCACCTTGCCATGAGCAGCCTAGCTTGTGTTCATACTGACTCACCAGATGTCAGAGCACAACTGATATAACCTGGGCATTTCCATGACACCACCTACTTTTACCTGCCATTGTATATTGGAATCAATTTTTGAATCAAAGAAATATTTTATTTTACATTTGGAATGAATTTAGTCTTGCTTTTTTTATCTCAACAAATTTTACTTATTTATTTTAGTAAAGAAAAAAAAAATCTTTATTTAAACAGTATGAACATGGAGACCTGGAAAGAGCAACTGGAATCTACTACAGATCCTTGCAGCAATGTCCTTGGGCCAAGGTAAATTTTCTTGGAATCACTTTCCACATTGTTTTTAGTCAGATATTGTACATATTTTGTTAGCAAACTTGTTAAAAATTAAAATCATGGGTAAAAATCTTAAGTTCAGTCCTTATTCAAGTGTAGGGTAGATGAAGAAAAAAAAAATGATAGGTCTTATTTGAGAAATGTTGAATTTTTTTTTTATTACTATTATGGTAAATTTAGAATCAAGTTTCTTTCCAAATAATGTATTTCCTTCTAATTGAAACATTTTTGTATGATTGTAGAGGAAAAGACATTTTTTTTAATTTCATTACTTCAGTATGTTTTTCAATGGATTCTGATCTAATTTCATTATTTGTTACAGGCCCTTTATAAAGATGCTGTAGTAATGTTGGGGGATGATAAACTGCAGTACATTGTTGATCTGATGATGGAGAAAGAGATGCGAATCCAGATTCCTGTGGAAGAGATAGCCATTCTGCGTGGTGATGAAAGTGTCATGAAAGATCTCTAAACAAGAGATTTACTGCAACTGGAGAAGAGACAATCATCAATAACCACACCTGACATCGCTTTTTTGAAGGGCAAAGCAGAATGTGTTCCTTGGCTAAACTGTTGTGATGGAAACTTTTTATAGGAAAGTAATATTAAAATTCTGGCTTGAGGAACCTGCTTTGTTAAAAATATTCATGCTCACTTGTAAATATTAACATTTACATTTTTACATGCCTAAACCTCCCTGTCTTACTTTTCTGGATTCACTCAGTGTATATTTTAAGGATGGAATCATAGAATTAAACACTTAGAATTGGATTCTGCTTCATTCTTCACTTTACAAGCCAAATTTCTGCATGGCACATTAGTTGCAAAAAAAAAAGTTCTCAGAAAAGTTTCCAGTGCAAAACTGGATCTCAAAATTTCTTTTTACTTTTAATAAATGAACATTATGAAAATAACAAGAAAGAACTTAAAATCTTTCTTTCAAAAATGTTAATTAAACTGGAAAGCAGCCCTACATATGCACACCAGTTATTATATGAAAACTTAATTCTTAACCCTTTAAGGCCAGAAGTGTCCAAATGTACATGCAATCTAGGATTGCCCGATTGCAATTGATTGGTAATTAAAGAGACAGTATGAGAGTCATATCACATCACATCACACCACGAATCCTGTTGTAGGGGCACCACATGTAAGGCAGTCACAGCAGTAGTGGCGTATCTAACACAAGATAACCTGACGGAGCTCATCTTGATGAGTTTGAATTCAAAGTTTCCCTTCTCTTAGACCAGTTGCCATTTTAAGTCAAGAGAGCTTTGGTCAGCCCTGCAAATTTAATCCAGTGTTGGAAGGAGAATAGATAGATTCGTAGCTTTCCCAAGTGTAGTTGTGTGAAAGTGAACAGAACGAAATTGTTTTGCCCATTTCTCTTTCCAAGCTGCTAACCGCTACACTACAAGCACATTCAAGAGAAATCTACAGCTATATATCAATAAATATACTAATATGTAGAATTACATAGAAAAAATAATGCATTTCAATAAACAGAATTAACAACGATTATATGATCAACATTTAGAGGCACCAGTAAAATACCAAGGAGATTAAATTTGGTTTCATTTGAAAGAGAAATCAATTTACTTTCATATAAAATTAACTTATATTTGAGGTATATCAATTTAATTGCATTAACATCATATATACAACTTTTCAACAATTTAGTCAGGACTCCAGGGATTTAATAATTGAAATCTTTTAAGGGCTGACAGTTACTTTAAAGTTTAGTTGATTCCATCAACTTCAATTGTAGAAGTTAGAATCACTGCAGGATGGGATGTCAAGTAGTTGTAAATCAAAATAAGTAGACACATTGACAATCTTATTTGCACTTTTTTAAAAGTTTTATTTAACACTATTTCAGTGATACAATCCAAGTGAGTCTAGTTATTGCAAATGTGTTTGATATTTCTATTACCATCTTCTTTTCTAATGTCTTCAAGACTAAGTTTCTCACCGGTAAAAAAAAAAATCCATCTTTGTTTTTAATATTTAAAGTCAAATTCAGAAATGGTCATTTTTAGTAAAATGTTTCTGCATTGTAAAAAATTTATTTAAAAAATTTTTTTTTAATAATAAAAGTTGATATAAAAATTCTAATAATCTAAATTATCCAAAAATAAGGCTGAAACTGGTCAGTCATGTCTTTATGGAATGAAATTGAAAATATAATTTATCCGCAATATTCAAAAATAGGTTAATATTTCTGAGTAAAGACAAAATCCTTTAAATTCTCGAATGTAGAAAATGTCGATATTGTTCAGGCACAGCTTCATATAAACCTGAAGAAGAAAACAGAAGTTATAAGACAGTGTTTGCTCTGTTCTAGCAGAAGTCTAAATTTCCATTTTCAAACAGAAATAGAAATTAAGTTGGGATTTATTGCAGCACATTCACTTCCAAAGAGGGGTAGTTCTTTATTGACTTTATGTTCATATGTGAGGGATGGATGGGCAGATGGTGTTATGGTAATCAGGGAGCTGAATTTGTTATATTCACTTTTGTGTAAGTGCCCTTGGAAAAGGTTATGACTCCATCACTTCTCCCTACAGCTATGAGTCAAATAGCAGAGCAGACAGGGCTCTCTAGCTGTTGTTGGCAACCAGCCCAGGAGAAGGACAATTCTGAACTCAAAACTATATATAGCACATATGTGTTCATTGAAAAGATTATGAAAATCACAATGATCTCAACTGCATCAATATATTATTACTATTATGTGAGGGACATGAAAAGTAAGGTACAAAACATTTCTTCATCATCAGGTGTAGTTGTAGGGTCACTGACCAACTATAACCCCCCTCCCCCTTGGAATTGTTAATCAGAGAGCCAAGTTGGGTTTGTTATATTCACTTACACACAAATACCCTTGGGAAAGGTATAAATCCACCTCTTCTCCCCCACCACCTATGAGACTTGTATCACTAAACCATTATCTCCAAAAAAAAAAAAAAAAAAAAAGTTCTTAGAACCTAAAGAAAAAAAAGATTTTCTGGTTTTAAATAACCTGCAAAGGGGTAATAAGCCATAGAAAACAAATCAACCAACAACTAAATTCAAAAAATCTATTTGCAGAAGTGGTGTGAACAGGTTTTATAATTCAGCCAATAAAAATTTCAATTTCTCTTCAGTCTGCCCAGGGTTTCACAGTATTTGACTGCATTATACTGTCTGACTATGGGATATTTTCATGTGCAGCAGACATTTTGTATTCCAAAACAGGTACCATCAATTTCTTTACTGACTGCTTAACTTTGGAAACACTGTATCCTTTCAGGTAATGAAATCAACTTTTGTCTCAAGTACTGCACCTAGGTCTTATCATCTATGATCATATGCTCCAAAAAGCATCCTTATATCATTCCAAATGTTGAAAAGAAATGCCCATGCTCTGTAACTTTGATTCTTTAGTCAACTGTTTTGGGTCTCTGAGTCAAAATTTTACTCTTGGCATACAAAAATATTGTTTGTTTACTGTTTTATGGTGGCGCTCATTGTTTTCACATGACATAAACATGCATTTAATGTTTAGGTTGTTGCATAGCTCCCCGTTGTTTTGTACTTAGTTTTCTCACAGTTCTGGTCGAATTATGCCTATCTATACCTTGTTCTTTGAATATCTCTCATACTTGTAAAATCTGTTAGTCATTAGGCATAAAACAAAACTGCTAATGAATTTACCAAATTGATGATTCAACTCCCAAATAAATCATTGATAACATCACTTTTTTATTCATCTGACATGAATAACATGTGACTGAAGTTCTAAAGTTGTAATTCTGAAGCCCACACTGGCTATCAATTGTTGAAAAAAAAAAAAAAAATGAATCTTATTTCTTCATAACTAAAATCAAAACAGTTTTGGGAATCTGAGGTTCTTCAATAATTAGAGTTAAGTCTTGATATGAACAGGAGTAATAAGACAAAATTGTTCTTTTTTTTCCCCTATGTTAAAGATGTAAGGAATTATGAACTAAATTGAAATCTTCCTATAAATACAATGTAAATATTTAGAAGCCTGTAAATAGGAAATGTGATAATTTTTCTTACCTCGTTTCTTTAATTCTGCTTCACTGAATAGTTTTGCATAATACCTCTAGGGAATAGAAAAACAAAAGAGAAGAATGTTTATTTCTCCCAAATTGCAAATATACTTGCACATTAATTTTATGAAATGTAGAGGGGGGTTATTTTCTGTAAAAATGGAACAGCCTATTTGAAATGGAAATGGAGATTTTCTTTTTTCTAACAAGTAGATAGTAGGGTGCAAAACAAAATTTCGGCTTTTTTCCTTTCTTTTTCTATCACACATGGTAATGATGGTGGGTGTGCAGTTTATCATTTCAGAAAGCCAAATTTTACAAATTAGACTTCTTTTTTTTTTTTTTTTAAGATTTTAATTTTATTTTCTTGTCTTAACATTTAAATATTATTACACTTTCTTACTAAGTATTATAATGAAACAAAAACAATTCTATACTGAAAACGCAATTCCCTAAAATCTGAAATGGAAAATTGGTCCCTCTAGAAATGTTTGGACTGATTCCAGCCAAACCTTCTTTAAGATTTTCATATGACTTAAATTAATTTTGCAAATGATTCAGAAGTGTAATTTGAATTCAGTTAATTATTTTATAGCTCTTGATTCATGTACAAGCAACTTTGAAATCCTAAAATCAATGCAATCTGGGAAGAATTTTGATCTGTTATGGTAAAATAAAGATAAGCAGTTAATATTTCTATCCAACTAGTTCAGATTAGAATTTTTCAATAGGTTTTCTATTGTCTTAACTTACAGAGTTGGTATATTAGGTAATTCAAGTTTTGCTACTTTCCTTATTGAACCAAATCCAGTCATTTAGTGAAGTTCAAATCAAAATAGATCAGATTAGTTTTTGATTTTCTTCAATTACAGAATGAAACTTTGAGAAAAGATAAAAACATTATTTCAATGCTAAAATGTATTTATTATAATATCAATATTTTCATATATTTTTTTTCACATTTTTCTCCAATAAATCCAATCAATTAAATTTCATACAATGTCTTATATTAAGTATTAACTACAGAAGCTTTTCAAAACCAGTATAGATAGTGGCACAAATACATTGAGAAAATGAAGTTTTTGATTCAAAACATTTTATAAAATAAGTTGGAAAAATTAAAAGAACTTGTATAAGAAATGCAAAAGAAAAATTTCATAAAAGAAATTTGTTTAGTAAGATTATTATTTTTCTAATACATATTCAAGTGCCAATTAGTTTGGTAAATGTTAACACAGAAATAATTATTGACAAAATATCACCAATTAAAATATTTGTTGGGAAAAATTTTAATTTATGAATTAGAATAGAACACAATTTGCTGAAAATCACTCTAAAAATAATTTTGTTTTTGATAGTGTTTAAATTGATCATAGGGAAACAAATTTTTATAGAATAAGTTAAGTTTTAACCAATTATTTTTTTAACTCCAGAATTATTGTAAAACCAGGCAAGAATGCTGGAATCAAAAATATTTTGGTGTTTGCAGTTAAATGCAGATTTACTAAGATGTGAGTTTGATTCAGTGTATCTTACCTGCCCAGTGTCACAGAGACATGTGACAATAGTGTGTCCTGGTCCTAACTTTTTTGCAACTTTCACAGCAGCAGCAACATTCAGCCCTGAAGAGGCTCCAACAAAGAACCCTTCTTCTCCCAAAAGCCGAAAGACCTGAATATGTACATAAGAGTATTTGATCACATAAAAAAAAATTTTAAAATTCATTTTATTTTTAAAATCATCTTTATGCAACACAACATGTTTGGACAAGGTAAAGTTATAAAAATTTCTATCAAAACTGAAATCTATTCAAAATAGGCAGCCACATCAATTCCTAAGAAGCCAATTCTAAGCATTTGTTATTCAATAAATAAATACAGAAAAGGAAACGGTTTTAAAGTTACTGAATTTAATATATTTAAAAATAAAAGAATATTGATGTATCTTCAATGAACTAAACTACAGAACTTTTTTTAATTGTTTAGTATCAAAAGTAGGAATATATTTAGACATTTGTCAACTTTTAGTTTCTGATTACATTGAATAGCCAGAATCTTGTCATCACTAAGTTTAGTTCTTTCCAGAAGAAATAAATTATTAAATTTTGATCTCCAACTGTTTTCTTCTCTGATCTCAAATCTGAAAGGGGTAGAACCCCAAAGAAAAAACACAACTTCCTATTACTTTTTATATTTGTGACATTTTTTGCGACAATAAATTCTTAAAAAAAACAAAAAAAAAATATGATTATTTTTTAATCACTTCTTTAGAGAAAAAATTTTTACATCTTTCTTTTTCAGGGTGCCTTGTCATGGAGTAATGGTTAGCAAGAATGGTTGACCATTATAGAATACTGAGTTTGATTCTAAGTGGATGCCTCATATAAAATTTATTAAATAACTCAACCAGAGTTTACATGTAGAATCAGTCAACCTGAATTTTTTTTTTTCAGTATAAAAATTAGATGAAAAAAAACAAAAACTGATTTGATTAATTCATTTCAATATTTCATTAAAAATAAAATTTTAAAAAATTGGATTAAATTTTGTTTTTTGGAAAGCGATAAAAAATGATTTTTCAACAAGTTGGTATTAATGAGTACATAACAATAGGGCACCTAATAAAAAAAACTTAATTTTTTTATCATTTTCTTGCTTAAACTTCAATCAGCAATTGAGAATTTTTTCTTAAATATTTAAAAAATGTAAGTAATCAGTTATTTAAGATAGTGCAGTTTTTTGTAATGCATTCTTCATCCTTTGCTTTTAAAGAATTGAAAACTTTTGTAAATTGAAAGCATTGAATGTTCGTTTTATTTTTCTTCCTCCTCAAAAAAAGTGAGGTGTCTTAGATACTTAAAACTTTGCTTACCATTTCAACAGTTTCATTGTCTGAAATAAGTAAGGCATCATCAACTGGAGCTCCTTGCATATTTCCAGTAATTCGACCCTGACCAATTCCTTCTGTAATTGAATCCCCTACTGATCTTTCAAGTTTACCATGTTTGAACCAGTTGTATACCACACTCCCCTGAAATTTAAAAAAAAGAAAGGAAATATTTAAAAACTCATCAAGAGAATTTGCACAGCTTATAATAAACAAAAGGCTTATATCAAAAATTCAGTTTACATTTTTTTCTTTTTACAAATTCTCAGAGAGAGAAACCAATTCATTGTCAGCAGTTTTTACAATTTAAAATAAAAAATAAGTGAGGATTCCAACATCATATATTTAATAAATTTCTTTTGTAATATATATTTCCTACTGTTCACTCAATAAAAAGTTACTTTAGAGCTACTGAATGAGGTATGTAATATGAATGTAAGTGGAGGTAGTAGGAAGTGAAGATTTTGAAGATAAGGATAATGATTGATTCAAAGAGGTTTAGATTGTAATGTTCATAGAAGCACTCACACAAGAGTCTGTTTCACAAAGTAGCAGTTCTTCAGGGGAAAAAGCTCTGGAACTTCCTCCTTACAAAATGGAATATGGAGGAAATGATGGTAATTTGACAAATGAGATGTAAATGTCGGAACTTGTAAAACTCAAGAATGATGTTCATCTGAACATTTGCCATGGAAATAGTGATAGAGTAGCAATTGACTTGTGATGTTGTGTCGAGGAAAGAGGCTGCAGGTATATTTAATTTTGTTCAGTATAACTTTCTCAAATAAGATGCAAACCTTTCTCCCAACTTAATGATATATAAAACACTTTAACACATAACTACAGCAAGATGAGCATCATTCATGTAGTTCTTAGTTCTCTTTTAACTGAAACATATTCATGTCTTTATCCCCCAAATTCTACAAAATACTAACAAATCTATTTACCAAAATTTTCATCAAAATTGCTTATGAGAAAATGATTTTCCTTGTTTAAAAATCAACATAAAAGTTTTGTGAAATACCTAAATTTTTCCCATTTTTTAAAATTTGTAAATAAAGGATAATTTTAAAGTCAGTTTTCTAAACTTACAGGTGGATCTGCCAAAATGCTCTGAACATGAGGATTTTGTTCTTTGAGGTAAATTGATACACCTGAAATTAAAATAAAAGTTAAGCTATGCACAAAAGCTTTGAGACAATTTGAAAAATAAATAAAAAACAATTTTCATAGAATAACATTTTTAAATTTTTGTATGTTCTCATTTTTTTTTTTAAATTGTTTATTCTTTCTCTTTGTATTTTTCTCTGTATACAAGATTGTTGGTTCTTGTTGAATTTGTTAGACACCAGAATCAAGCCTTGCTTTAAAAATTTGGAAGAGTTGGATACAGGATTCTAGGAAGGTATATATATATATATATATATATATATATATATATATATATATATATATATATATATATATATATAAATATGAAGACCTTACAAATTTTCTTTTTGTTTCTTCCTGTCATTCTCCATAGCTTAGTGGTAAAGCACACTGATTATATATATATATATATATATATATATATATATATATACACACACACACACACACACACACACTTTATTACAGGATATTACATTCAAACCTGTATAAAACCACTACATAAATGTAGCAGTTTTACACTTGTTTGAATCTAATATTTTCTGTAATAAAGAATATTACTCTACTATTGGATTGTATTGAGCCCTATTTTAAATTAATGTTATGAACATTTGAATTTATATTTGATTCATTCTCATTTCATATGGAAATGATATATAGATGTGTGTGTGTATGTATATAGTGAGAGAGGAGAGGCACAGTGGAATAATGGATAGCGGCTCAGATTGAAAAATTGGAAAGCTGAGTTTGAATTTCAGTCGAATCTATTGCATTCACTTGGGAAAGGTATGAATCCTCTTCTTCTCTCCCCGGCTTTGGGTAAATAGCAGGACAAATGATTTGTGTGGGTAGTCTGGCTGTTAGTTTCTAGGAACAGAGTTGCTTGACCCTCTTATGCCAAAATCAATGGGAGAATCCAGTGTATGTGTGTATATATATATATATATATAATGTCCAGCTACTGTCATTTTCTGAGCACACCTGTCTGCTAGACTGGTTAGCCAATCCTGTTGCAGGTTCCTGCTCAAGCACATTTGTTTGTTTGTTATACTGCACCTATGCTGAGTGAACCTTAGTTACAGTTTCTAGAAGATAGTACATAATCTGTCATGATCAGCAGTTTGAACAATGCCAATATGTTCAAATCTTCTGTCACAAGCAGTTGCACAAGTCCAACCATCAACAGCTTCAAAATAATTATCTACCAAAATTCACTTACAAGCCTTGGGTCAATCTGTGGTATAGTTTTTAGGTATTTTCTAAAGGTGTTGCATGCTAAGATTGCCTCCCTCAGACTGATAACATTAAGAAGTCACCTTCCTGACATAATTCACCATGGTGAGTTTCAAACCTGGGGTTCATGATCGGAAAGCAAATGTTCTAACCACTTGGCTATCTTCATACACAATATATAAATTATTTCAGGTCATTTTTAAAATTGAAAATGGTAAAATATATATAAATTTTTGGTGGAGATATTTTTTAAAAATGTGTTGGAAGTATATATAAAATTGTTTAAAAATAGAATTGTGTGTATTTTAAACTTTATTTTTTTTTTATAAAAGCATTTTTTCACTCTACATGAAAGTTGATGTGATTAAAAGTCTGTTTTTCTACAGAGAGATTACTTGCTGTTATGCAAAACTAAATGGAAAGCAATATCAATTAGATTGATGCAAGAGATCACAGAATTTTTCCCCAACCGGCCCCTTTATTTTATATAAATTCACAGCATTATTAAGCCATCAAAATATTTTCCATGGCTTTCTATGACATATATATACTGTGTTTCAGCAATTAAATTGTGTGTTCCATCATGAAAGAACATTTCCAGTTTTCATTCAATGAATTCTTTGAAGAATTTTTTCATATCTGGAACTTTGCTGAAATCACTGCTCAGGCAAGAAGAGTTGCATGGAACAAAATAAGTGATAATCTGAATGTGATGGGTTTGACAAATATGACACATGTAGAAGAATTTCCTATTGTAGCTTCATGATTTTTTGCTGCATTACATTTGCGGTATTAGGACATGTTACCATGCAGCAAAAAATCACCTGTCAACTTTATTTTCTCAAATACATCATTCAAATGACTCAATTGTTGACTATAGCATGTCATTGGAACTACAGTACTGATGAGTCTGAAAGGTCCTTGTTCAAGTGTGTCATCTGGTATTTGTAATATTAGCATTTCTTTGGAAATATTTGGCATTCATTGATCAAACAGCCAGTGTTAATTTAAGCTTTCCTTCATTCCCTGGGCATTAGGATAGGACCAAAGTGTAGTAAGTTTTCCTCACCTCTAATGGTAACGTTAGTGTTTCTTTATAAGGAAACATTTGGCATTTGTTGATCAATCAGTCAGTGATGCGTTGGTTGTAATTTAGAAAATCTTTCTTAAAACAATTTTTCAGGAAAATAGTTTTCTCAAGTCAAATAGATGTTATCTATTGTTCCAGTATTGAGGGGGAGGGTTCATAACCTCTTATTTGAAGTAGTGTGGAATATCAACATCCTCATTAAGTCATTATTTTCTCTTTGAGTTATATGTGATATCTATTTTAGCTATTGCTTAAAGTCCTCAAGCGATATGGTTTCTCTTGTCTGGAACAGTTATTTGTAATTCTGTAATGCTGGTTTATAATACTTGAAGAAGGATGGTCTTTGCCAAGATTCACCAACTTCACTTGCTCAAAATCATTATCTAACAGAAGGAATGAAAGGTGACATACAACAATGGGGATGAAGAGTCATTAATGTGAAAAGGAGGATTTATTTATGCTTTCACCATGAATGATATACAAAAATGATTAGAGATCAACTTGGAATTCTACTGCATACATAGGAGTTGGTACTGCATTGTAGTTGTGTAATAAGAGTAGGTTTTCATCATGTGCTAGTCTCAGCAGCTAATGTTAACATCAGACTCCTGGCACATCTATGGCTGTCATTGTGTGCATAGGGCTTTAGTGGGTAGACATCTTTGGTGAGTACCTGACCAAAATGAGCAAGGGACAAGTAAATGACCATGGTAAATTGCTGTGGAATCAAATTGATGACAGTTTATATAATGTTGGAGTGGTTAGAGAACAAACTGTTGGTTGGAACTGCATGGATCTTTTCTGATTGGTTAGAAAATATTTTTATAGTCAATTTTTCTTTTTTTCATCTTGGCATTGGATGCATGTATATACTAAGAAAATGGCGACATATCCTGAAGGCTAAAATGTTTTTGTGTCACATACTGTTTTTGCAGAAAAAAACAAAAGATGCCTTCCCACTGAATGAAGTCAGTGAACTCATGTAAAAGAGTTACTTTTAACCAATCGTGGTTTAAGTGTCACTGAGTGGAATAGATTACGTAGAAAAATTGGCTAATTTATTTCCATGTTCCATGAATAGTAAACCATAATTGGTCCAACAAGCTGCTATAAAAGTGATTGATTCCTACCTGAAAGAGAACCATTAGTAATACCAAAGCAAGAGCAATCTACAGTTGTGGAGGCTGGGCAATTTCTGGACTTGGCCCAGGTGCACATGCTCCACACATTAAACTGACCTTGTGTCACATACCATCACGGTGGGTGGGGTAGCAAATAAATATGGGAACTTTGTGATGCTGCATGTCACTACAGAAGACTTTGTGTCTTTCTGAGAAATTGCATTTGTTCTTTTACAGTGGAGCCTGCCTAAAATCAAACCAGATTCTGTCATTTGGACAATGGCTGTCAAGGTGAGCATTTCTGTTTTTGTTCAAGTGAATGAGTTCCAACAGGCTACAACAAACATTGTCTAGTGACAGTGTGTTCAGGTTCCATCAAGTCATTGTAAAGAATTCCATTCAAAAGACATTTAGGTTGAGATGCTGTTGTAGCATACCTACAGATGATAATGGGTATGTCCCCATTCACATAAATACAGTAGTAAATACTGTATGTTGGTCTGCAGTCGAAGATTCATTGTGGAAGTCACTTAATTCACTTCTAGCAGTTGGCTATTTCTACGCACCACTAGAGAATCTTATATGTGTTTTTCTTGTCCTAAGTATTATCATTCGTGTGATTAATCTATTCAGTAACCTTCCCTAGGTTACAACAGATGCTGAAGATGGTTCAGGATATTTTTTCTATGATTTTCTTTCAACAAGATCTTCATAATAAACCAGATTGTTCATCACCAGTGGCCATCTTGTCCAAAAGTGTTTTCATATTTTTATTTTAAGCAAAAAAGGAAAGACAATTCTTAAAATGATGACTGATTAAGCAAATGAATGACAAAGTGGAAAAAATTCTGTCAAACATGTTTCATCCTCTAGAAGGACTTAATCAGAATAAAGTCATGTATTTTATATATGTGTAGGATAGAGAAGTTATGGGCACATAGACAAGTGGTTAGATTGTTCACATTCTGAAAATGAGACCCGGGTTTGAATCTCACCATGGTCGATTTGTCAGGAAGAAAACTTCCTGATGTTACCAGACTGGAGAGATCAATCCCAGCATGTGGCACCTTTGGAAAGTGCCTGAAAACCATACCACAAGTTGACCCAAGCCTTGTGAGTGAAATTGGGTAGACAGAACCTTTGGGTGCTGTCGATAGCTGTGCTAGCACAAAGTCACAAGTCATCGTGGCTGAGGGCTTGAGCGTGCTGGCCATGTTTAAATTGTTGATCACACTAGATAACACGGTCTTTCCTAGAAACTGTAACTAAGGTCTGCTCAGCATAGTTGCAGTATAAACCACAGGTGGGCTCAGTGGGTGTTGAATAAACACAAATGCACTTGAGCAGCGTCTACAATAGGGATTGGCTAGCCGCCCTAGTAGACAGGTATCCTCAAATACAAGTGGCTAGCTATACTATACTAGGATGGAGAAGCAAGCAGCAGTTATATCTGAAAAGGCTTTTTATGCAAATGTGCACATAAACTCTGATGGAATTTGAATTTGGCTCATCAGTTTCCAAGTCACTAGCAGTTACACTAGAAACATAGCCAAGCTATTTTAGGGAGTCTCAGCTCAAAATTTTCTTTCAATTTGATTGTATTTAGTTAATCTCAAAAAGCACAAATTTATTTAATCTATGCCATAAAAAACATTTTTAATGCTCTTATTCTGATATTTTATATTGTATTTTATATTTTTTTTGAGGAGATTTGTTTTGTGAGCATGATGTGATGCACAGAGCCCCAGGGCAGTGAGTGACATTTTTATTTTTGATTTTGCTTTCTTAGCATTCACATCCAACCAACATCTAGAGTGAATCAGAAAGTGATCTAATTTGAAGCAGAGTATAACAGCTCCCAATCATGTTCAAAGGTAGCGAGTGGGTATGTATGAAAAGAATATAGGTATAGTGTTGGGAGTTGTTCATGTTTGTCCTTTTGGGATTTGTTTTGGGTAGGGCTCCTGTCATTTCACCAGATCTGAAATCTTGCATCTTTGTAGGCTGGAGAGCCTACAAAGATGCAAGATGGAAGGTGGCAACTTCAATGCTGGTTGAGGATTCTGTAAACATGAAGGAAGGGAAAAAGTTTGTATAGTGCAGATGATTTAGTCACGGTATGAGGCAATGGACATGAGCACGACAGACTCAGCTGGTTTCAGTAGTTTCGTTTCTCGTGAAGTACCATGTCATTTGTCTTGGTGATTTCAAAGTCAATTTGATTGCATTCAGTTAACTTCAGAAGCACAAAACCATTTTCATTCTGCTTGTTCTGGTATTCTGGAAAGTCTAGAAATCAATTCCAGAGAAACAAAAAGTTTCACATTTTCTAGTCATGCAAAAGTGAGAGGCAGTTCACTTCAGGTGAAAATGTTTAGAAAGTAAACAGCTTTCAATAATAGATTAATGGAAGAATTTACTACCTGAAAATGTTCCTCCTGTGCCTGTTGAAAATGTCACTGCATCAACTTTGCCTTCTAAAAAAAAAAAAAAAAAAAAAATTGAAAATCTCAAGAGGAAAATTCAAAGCAATCTTGAAGTTTCTCTGAAGTAATTGTTATAAAACTAAGCAAGCGCAAGCAGTTTTTTATGGCAAAACTAAAGACATATTTTTTGTTAAATTTATCTAAGACAATGTAAAATGCCTTTCTTTTTTCAACAATTAAACATTGAAATTTCTTCTCTTATGTCTCAATTAAAACTTGTACAACAGGAAATTTACTAACATATTTATTGGATGTTTAGTCAAAGGTTTGTTTCAATATTTTTGATTTAATTACAAAAAGAGAATGATATGTACTTGTTTCTCTCCAGATTTCTGGCCCTGTTGTTTCGAGATGAGCAAGTCTGTTAGCTTGATTGTCAAATTGGTCAGTCCACACGGCATTCTCAATTGAAAGAGCATATCTCTTGGCCTGGAAAAAAAAAATTACAGACACACACACTTAGAATATTAAAAAAATTTGTTTTTCTGTTTGATGATTCAACAACCCAAAACTATAACCAAAACTTTCTTAATTTGTCACTTTGATTGTAATTCTTGCATAATTGGGATGTTGATAATCTGTGAAAAATTTAAAAAAAAAAAAAAAAAAAAAAGACTCATTTGATAGTATTGGAAATAGTTTCTGAAAAGGTGACTATTTCCCTCAAAGTATTAGTACCCATAAAAAATAATAGAATCATTTACATATGGATCAGCAGTACTTCAGCCTAGGATCAGATTATCTGTGCACTCTGCTTTGGATCAAAGTGTTGTTCTTGACCCTCTACCTAGGATCAATATAGTATCAGACTGCCTTTCTCCAGCCTTCAGGCTAGAATCAAAGCATCACATTTTTTGTTGTTCTCTTAAAATCATGTGGGAAGCCTACCTGGGGATTTCAACCCTGTGGATTTCAGCACCTTTCTCATTACACTAAAGAGAGAGGTTTAGCAGATACTGATGTTAGCATAGTATGGGTCATGAGGACTGGGTAATCTTTGTCCTTGGCTTGCATATATAGCATTCCCCATTAAGCTGATCTTATGTCACATCCTAGGTAAATACTGTCAGTGTAATATCTGTGCATTCTGTGCAGTGGTGTAGCTGGGGCGGAAGGGGTGGTCTGCCCTGGGCAGCACTTTTGGTTTTCAGAAAAGAAAAAAAACAATAGCATAATTTCAATAATTTTTGCAAAAAAAAAAAAAAAAAAAAAAAAAAAAGCAGCAATAAGGAAGAAGATAGGGTTCAAATGAAGCCAATTTGTCTTTGATATATAATATTCCTTGTTCTGTGCTTATTAAGATATAAAATACCTGGAATCATACAGGCATTAGATTCTGAGAAATGTATAAAAATATTAAAAATTGACGGGTGTACAAATAATTTTGTCGTTGACTGATATATATATATATATATATATATATATATATGGATATAAGTTTGTGATCCAGAGTTTCTCACTTTTGTAGTCATCAGACAAAGTGATTTATTTTTTAAAAATGGATCTATTTGTTTGACTATGTTTGGTGGTGGGAAGGGGAATTTCCCTCCATGTCTGTTCAGAATGGCATTCTCACATGCATAGACACATGCACATACAGGTGATAAATCTGAGAAGTGTCAAGAACACCCCTATCCACTCCTTGTTGAAATGAACATCATCACACATAAAAAGCCACAGTGTTGACACCAAAATAGAATTAAAATTGCATATGTATGTATGCCTGAGTACATGGATGTGTATCTGTGCCTGGCCTCAGATTGTTTGTATGGGTACATTTGTGTGAACTAAAATGCATACGCCTGTATGTGTGTGGCTCTGTGAGAGTGCAATCATGAACAGACATGGAGGGAAATTCTATGTTTCTAAAATCTCAATCTAAACTCTGAAATTTTATTTACTATTAATTTTTTTCTCATCAGGAGTAGTTTTGCCTATTGTCTAGTTCACACTCCTCCTTGGTCTTTTGAACAGGAGTAGTGGTTTATCCTTTGTTTCTTGTTTAGAATTTTCATTCTCTTTCACTCCCAGTAGCCCCTTGCATCTTAGTGGCATTATCACCTTGCTTAGGATTAAGTGATTGGAAAAATAAAAAAAAATAAAAAAAGTAAATAAAAAAAAAAATAATAAAAAAGAAGTGAATCCCTATATGTATCTCTATATGTACCAAAGAGGATTCCAACGTTCATTTCCCTTGTAACTGCATAGTGGACTTTTCTCAAATTTTGTGCAAATCAATGCAAGCGAGAATGGAGACACAATGTGGGGTTATTTGTCTGGTCAGTGAAAAGCTGAAAGTAGGACCTATTGTATGTCTGCAATTATTTTACCCCTTTTTATCTTTTAATAGATTTTGTTCATAGCATGGCATACACCTTACATAGGAAGGTCTTTTGCACAGATTTATAAATGACAGCAAACTGATGTGTTTGTTGTATTTGTTGCAGTTGAATATTCTTTACTCCTGTCTTTGCCCAAATAGTGACCACATAGTGACATATGACCAATGAATACCTTAACCCATTTAGAGAATGTCAGTACCTTTGCTTTGTCTGCAGGTGTGAAAAGCATGAAGGATAGTTTTACTCATTTGTAGTCAAAGCTGTCAAATTACCACCCCCTGATAATAATCATAAACAACGTATGATTTGAAAGCTTCTTTCTCTTTCCTTTTGTACTTTCATATTGACAAGATGTTCTCTTCTTGCTCTATCGGCATGTAAGTACATCACAGACCCATGTCATTGCTTTGAACTCTTCACAACTTTAACTTTATTTCTCATTTTCCTTTTTGTGTATCATGTCTATTTAATGTATTTATTTATACTTGTTTAAATTCCATATTTTTTCTTCTTATTTTTACCTGGACTCACATGAATCTGCCAAATATTGTTTGCAGTAGAAATGTATCAGGAGCCATTAAATATTTATTGAAAAATGTCCATGCCTTACAATGAAAGTGATTATTTCCATAACAAAACAAGAGAAAATTAGATTTTATGAGACTAAAAAGTTTCATACATTTTTGTGATTCTGCATTTTAAGGATTTCAATTTTAATGCTGTTTATCAAGAACTTCTTGCAGTTACACGACTACTTCATTTTTTTTTTTAACTTTTTCTCAAACTTTGTGATCAGCAACATCAACAGAATCATTTCAAAACTTTTGTACTTTGCACTTAAAAAATTAGACTTAAAAGCAGCCAAAATTCATAATACATGCTTAAATATACCAAAATATTTTATAAATTTAATATTGTGATTAAGTATTTTTTTGTTTTGTTTTTTCGTAAAAAAAATAAGTGACTACCTGTTGATTGTAATGATTTGGGTCTGTTAAGGCTACAGCAGGAACAGGGAAAAGTTCAACTCCAAGAAGCTGCAGCATATCAAATTTTTCCTAAAAAAAATGTTAAGAAAAAAAAAAATACAAAACAATATGTTCCTTACAAGATCAATAAGTTGCTGATTTGGAAATATCATTTACCAATTTTCCAAAAAGTAAATTCTATTTAAATAACATACAAAAATCAAAAACATTATGTGATATTTTTAACATTTAACAATCAAATATCTTATCCTAAATTACATATAGTTACAGGAAGTATAACTCAATGCCAAAAAGTAAACATGCCTTGTGTTACTAAAAAAAACAGAATATCTCATTTGTATATAAGAGAGATCAGGCTGCTTTTTAAGTCTTTGTTTCACATTTCGGGGGACATTTTTACTTCCAGTATTTCAAATGGTAGAATTTTTTTTCTCTTCTGCATTTGTACCCACTTGGTCTCTTTCATTACTGGCATCATCATCGCTGTCTCCAGCATCTGTTTCCACTGGTTCCATAAATGAATAATCTGGCCTGCGTTGAAAAACTGGCGAATCTGAGTTGTTTTCAGATGACTTATCACTGCCGTCAACTTCTGATGAAGCAGATGTCTGGCATGGGCAGAGGTCTCTGATACGGCATGGCGTTCCATTGATGAGAAATGAATGTGGGCCGTAGACCTGTGTTACTGTTCCTTTTTTGAATTGCATTGAACATGGTACAGCTGTTTGAGGTTTCCTATAGCGCCACTGAACTTAAATAAAGTCAATTCAGGTTTGCTATGGTAAAAATTTTCTATCCCAAGTAAAAATCACTACAAAAATGGCAAAAGTCATTTTGTCACAGCTTATTTTCTCTCAAAAAATGGATTTTCATACTTTCATAGGGGTAAAATATTGAAGAATGACTATTATCACCTAAACAAATATCAAGGAAACTTTTGATCTGAACCCCATGAAATTAGGTATTTTCTGAAAGCAAAAAATATATTCTTTCATTTAAAAGTAAAATTGGCTGGTGTAAATGACTCAAAATTTTTTTCAAGGGGTAAAATATGAAAAAAATAGTGAAAATTTTGCATTTTTTTAAAGTTTTAAACAAAAATTTTCCCTATTAACGCCCAACCACGGAAATATTTAGTAAAAGGTGAAAGATTTATCTCCAATTCCTGACCACCAGAAAACAAGTTTTTTTTCCCCAAAAATAGCAGCAATAAGGAAAATTAAACCAAATTGACTTTGACATCTCTGGTTCAAAGGTCAGCCAGCAATAAACATTTAGAACAAGTTGTAATAAAACCCAGATAAGAGCAAAGAGTGAAAAAAAGGGTCAACATTAGTAGGGCGTGATATAACCTATGTTTGAACAATGGCTTAATGTGTTTTGTTTTGTTTTCAACACCCAGTGACCCAGGTGATGACAACAACACTTAGCAGATGACATTGTTTTTTTTCGCCGCATATCTTTCGTATTTCTCATCACTGGGGCATTTAGCCATTCCTTTTATTCAATGATGTTCACACCAAATTAAGGAGAAATGGATGAAGTTTGAATGATATTTTGAAGTGAAAATAAATATTTTTTCATAAAAAAACAATGATTTTTCTCAGAAAATTGGGCATAATTTCTTAATGCTAACTACTGAATGACATTTTCCACAGCCAAATCGAAGATTAATTACCAGTGAATAATTCCATGTGCAAACAATAGCTGTCTGGATCCTATAACGTCGCCTGAAAAGGTCCAGAAGTTTACTGATTGATTGAAAACTTGTTGCACATAATTGTGTTTTTCATGGTCAGTTTCCATTATTTCATCTTGATGTTATCATTTTTGGACAGCCAAGTCATCAAGGATCCAGGAAAACAGTTTGGCATAGATTGCTTTAAGAACTTTACATTCTATGAAGTGTTAAAAATGTTACTGATGAATTAAGTTTTTTTGCTGAAAATTTCATTTACGCACCATGTTGGATTTTCCTATATGACAAAAAAAAGGCTTTTAAACAGCCATGATGGACCATGTGGGGTCTTTACCCAAACCATATCTCCTGCTTTGTAGACTCCAGCATCTGTGTGTGGACATCTTTTATGCAGGCTTGATTGTTGTATATAGTGTTGGCTGGTGCTGATGGAGCTGTTGTGTCATCTTTTGTCGTCACGTGATACCAATATAATGCCTCCATAATGGAACATTCCGATCGAGCAGTGACAAGCTTGATGGTGTGATGGCATCTCTTCATGATGCCATTCCCTGATGGTTGATAGGCACACCAAAATCTAAGTCAGATGCCCCAGTTCACAGCAAACCTCACAAATACCTCTTTGCAGAATGCTGTGCCATTGTTGACTCAGCAGGTGGCCCTCTCTTGCAGAATAGTGACTCCAGCTGTCAGATGATGCTGGCAGTGTCCTGATGTGGTAATGGCCACCAGATGGAACACCAACTAGGGCTGCAGTCAATCAGTCAGGCAATGCTGACCTTCATAGTTGGTTACGTCCATCCCAACCCTGCTTCAATTCTCTCACACATCCAACTATCCAGTTTTTCAATGGATCGGCACACTTTGCACTCTCCAACTATTACCTGAACCGCTGCTTTTGAGACCTCAGGATGGATTTGTCATACAAAGTACAAGGTGTGCTTCACACTGGGATGCCCACTATCTCAATGGATAGCTTGACTGTGGGTTGATTCCTCCTCTTCCATAGATGCAGCACACACTGGTTCCTTTTTTTTTTCTAAACTGCAGCCAGTCAACATTGAGGCACTCTAGCGAGCTGATTAGCTCAGTTTGCATGGGATCTCATGAGCACTATGTCAACAGTCAATTTACATTCCTCCATCAGTTCCTTGAATGTGCTGAGCCGACATTTTATCAACATTTCTGTCACCACCTTCATATGCACCTGAGACTTTCCAAACAGCATATCGGAAACCCATTGATGCACACATGTTGAGTCAGTCTTCAGGTGCACCACAGTCACTCTCCATTGCTGTGCCATGTTGATGCCTCTCAAGATCACATTGAGCTCTGCCAGCTTGATATGCTTGTCTTCATCTTCTGATCACAGACAACAGACATCTCCAAATAGTGATTCCCCACATTCCACAATGATGCCAGTGGCCAAGTAGCTTGCATCAACCCACACGGTAACTTCATGTCCATCAACACACCAATCATCTTGTGCTGGATCCTTCTGTGCCAACCTGGTAATGATGTCCGACAGCATCCAAGTCGGGGTGATTCCCTCACCTCATCATCTCAGCCAGTCGTCACAGAGTTTGTGTGCTGTTTTATAAATGCAGTTGTGACGTGGAGCCAGCCACATACTGGCAAATGTCCAGTCAACTTCCCACACAGGGAGAAGATGCTCCAATGTGTGAGCATGGTAGGTATCAGTTGGAGGTTATTTCCACGACTCTATTGCAATTTGCTTTGCTCCTCCCAGACACATAATCCCATTCTCTAAATGCTCTAGAGTCAGTCCGAATTGCTGAAGATGCACATGTACACACGTCGCAGTGCATATACTTTCATTGAAAAATATGTAATCGATGTATGAGGACATGGCCTTCCGGATGGTCTTGTCCTGTGTGACCACAGCATTCACAATTGATCACATGATCAGCTGTGCCATGTTGAGCTCAAAACCCAAACAGGTGAGGCAATATCTTTGCCCATCTATCTGCACTGTTTGAAAGGGCCATAATGATTTGTTGACGTGGATCTGCAAATAGGCACAGCACAAATCCAACACAGCAACATCCAATCCTTCCTGTTGTGACTCCCTCAATTTTTGCGCGCAAACATTTGCATCCGAGTTATGCATGTCTATGTACTGATTGAGCTCCTGATAATCCATGACCGGGCAGACCTTATGTTTGTTTTCCTGCAGCACAGCCATTAGAAGGATCAGGCTCTTGGGGGGCCCAAGTCCGTCCTCAGGATATGGAAGTAGCCAGCCGTTATCCATCCAGATTTATTGTTCACACGTATACTCCTCCTTGAGCGGCTTTGGTACTGGATATTCAGCTGTCTGGTTCTTCAATGCAGGTGGTGTCTGATCACCAGACCACTTCAAAGACACGACTTGGATCTTCTTGTTCTGGTCATACTTTGCATGGAAATCAGGTTCATTGATGGTGATGGCTGCGCACAAAGGTCAGTCAAGTTGAGGAAAGCTCACAGTCCCATCACTGGACACACATGCTCCTCCCAACTGCTTAATATTATCAAATCCAAGCGCAGATTGAAAACAAGCAATTTGTCGTCCACAACCAGAACCTCAACATCAATAGGGGGCCTGTTGCTCACGTCAAGTTGAATATGTCCTACCCCAGGGCACTTGTTGGTCCTTTCACCAACAGTGAGCATGTCCACTTCCTTCCTCTTCCAAGAGCAACAAAGCGGTCTGCTTACAAGCAATCAAGAACAGCCTGTGTCTCACAAAGCTGAGCTCCTGATTACATTGATGTTTACAGCAATTGCAGGTAGTTCCCCCTTCATATGGAGCTTGGGGAGTAGACTGGCACTGAGGCCTCTTCTGGATCATTTCCTGGGCAATTGTGGACTACATGCCCTACCATGTTGCACTTGTAACATCGCATCTGGGGTGTCCACCTTTCAGTATGCAATTCCTTGCAATCCTTTGCAAAATGGTTGGGGCTGTTGCAATGATGGTGGGAAGCTTCCTCGGCACATTCCTGTGTTGTTTGCACCACCAAGACTGCCAATCTCTCTTCCAGTACTTCACCTTTCATAATTGCTCATGCTTGAGTCAATAGCTGGTCGATAGACAACTCGTCCATCCGAGTTGAAGCACGAAGGAGGTGTTTAACTTGGTCTGGTAACCCTTGCTTGAATGCGCATGTCAAGCCATGGTCACTCATTCTGCCAAACAGGATGGAAAGTTTTTGTAACTCTACCAGATAGACATCCACTGATTCTCTGGGATGGAGCCATTACTCAATAAATTGCTCATAAGCCAGAAAACCGTCTGTAGCAAAAACTGTGTACAGTGTGGATTTTATCTGGCTGAAATCCTTCTTTTCTTTCTCTCTCAACTGCA